AGTCCAGGATGCAGGGTCGCAGTCTTACACGCCTCTCTGCTGTCTCCTTGCAGCTGCTACCCACCCAACACTCCCAGTACCCAATAGAGACTGTGTCTGCCCCTACCACCTAAATTATATAAATCAAAAATCAACTCAAGAGGAGTTATTCATAAGAACCTAACTAAAATTAAGACTACTTCTCTATAGAACAAAATAACAGGACAATCAATTGTAGACTTGTAAATATCAGATCTCTCTCATCTAAACCTCTGTTAGTGAATGATTTGATAAGTGAACATCACATTGACCTATTGTGTCTTACTGAAACATGGTTACAGCAGGAACAATATGTCAGTCTAAATGAATCCACCCCACCTAGTCACAGTAACTGTCACATTCCTGGAAGCACAGGACGAGGTGGTGGCGTGGCAGCGATCTTTGACTCAAGCCTATTAATCAACCCTAGACCTAAACATAGTTATAACTCATTTGAAAGCCTCACCCTGAGTCTTTACTTGATTCATATTTTCTAGTCAAATTACGAAATTCTGGAGACTTGATTTAACATTTCACACATTTTACAAGAAGCTTGATGTAAACACATAGACTGAATATAAAAATGGATGACTTGTCACCACTTGCCACTATGCAAATTAGCAACCAGAAGCGGGGCCACTGTATCATTATGTCATCAAGTAACTTACTAAAAACAAGTTTATCAGAAAACTGTCTACAAAAATCAGTGGGATATTTACCTAAAATGACAGAAATCCACTTTGGGAAAACTTTACTTGATTTGTACTTTGAGTTTTTAGTTTGGCTCATGCCCCAAATATGGACTGTGGGGTTTGTGTCATGTACTGCAGCCAACCACTAGGGGGCAGTTGACTTGTGGTGTCTTCACTTCTGGGAGCTGTCACGTCCTCCATCTTTATATAAAATCTCGGTTTACACATTACTATGTGGAATAAATGTCTTACCTTTTTTGTTCCCTGTCACATCAGGTGAAAGTAAGGACAACATGAAACAGCGTAAATATCTTAAAGAGCAACAAGAGTTATTCCACAAGTTCCACAAAACAATTAGGACATTATTATAAGACTTGCCAATGACAGAATAAATGTTACATCAATAAACATTAGGACATATTTGAACAACATAGCTACACAACAATGAAGAAGTGTTTTTACAAACAGATCCACAAAACATTTAATACAACACTGTAAAGATGAATGGAGATTGCAGCACAGAGGTTTCATAAAAAGTTATAACAACAGTGATGATGATAGCACAAATATGTCATCTTTTCCTCAAATTAATATTAAAAACAAGAAGTTAAATAAACCATCTCATCTCAAAATGTCATACTGGACACTTTTTAGGGAAAACTTTCTGTTTGCAAACTATTAAAGCAAGTCACATTCTACATGGTCTGCAATGGCAGAACATGAAAAGCTACTCAAAACTGAATGCTCATGCTTTTTGTGTCTGTAAATCAGTTCTGTCTGGAATAAACCGGGCATGGTGGTGGCAGTGAGTTCTCTGAGCTTCGTCCAAATTTGTGTCTAACACTGGTTACAAAGAGATGTACTTGAATCAAAACAGTGTGCCATCTTAAAACATGCATCTCTTGATCATTTCAGACATATTAGGTTAACGTCATAATCTCGTACAACCTCATATCTCAACTTTTGGGTGAGGCAGTAGTAATTTGCCACCAAAATGAGACACACTAACTTATCTAGAGACAATGAGCACAATCTCCCTTTAGTGGCTCAGGCTGTAACAGTAGTGGTGTGAGAGAATGTGAAAATCATGTGTGTGGTGGAACACAGCTTCGCTACTCACCTCTCTTCATCCATTTTCTTTTTCATCATGTCTCTCCTCCAGGCGGGCATTGATGCTAGACGTGCTGCCTCCTCCTCAGCCTGTAGAGGGACAGAGGGGCCAGGGGGAAGACAGAGATAAGGGCCCATAACTGTTGATAAAGGACTTTAACGGTAACATCAGCCCACCTAGCTACATTGCTTTGCATAACCTCATTGCATAGTCGAGATCAAACTCCAGTAAAGTCAAAGATATACTGTGAGTGAATTTTAAGTTGTCTTTAAAATAAGAATTATATATTTAGTGAAGGTAAGGAGGGAAAACCTGACCAGGGTTTCTTTATCTTTTAAGGATCTGGCTATGTTAAAAACCTGATCAATGTCAGCCTCAAATGCATTGCCTTTGTAACATTCCCACTTGTGAGATACGGTACATTACCAGAGTCTTTATTGTTGCAGCTCACCATCATGAACAGATGGTAAGCAAAATGATCAGTGTCCTGTAACTTAAGTCTCAGACAGCTGCTGTTTTATGTGGTAAATCTATACATTTTATAGGGAAATACTCAAGCCCTTCATGCTGTTATTTAGTGTCTGTGGTTGAAATTATTAGAACTAGGCATGCAAAAATCACATAAATGTGATATAATTGATGTTACATACAGTAAACTCTGTCCCACAGTTATGCATTACATCAAATATTTCACATGTATAAAGTCATTAACCACTAATTTTTTATACTTCAAAAGCTTTTTTCTCAAGGGCTTTGAAACCACAGATAATCACATAGGTCAAGTCACAAAGTCAAAGATGGTACTGAGGTGTATCATGCCTGCAGTATCATATAAGGCCTCCCTAATGTTGGAGAGGGCATATACATCCAACCGACATACACAAATGCTTTATAGTCTTTATGGACAGCTTAAATGACTAATGGTACTAAAGGTAGCACAATAGCAAAGAGAGCTCACAGTTGATCTCCATTTTTAAAAATAATAAAAGCCTTTTAAATGGAGAGGAAACTCTTTACAGGATGTTCTCTCAGACAGTGCACATGTACAGAAACCGAATCCCTTTCTCTCTCTCAGGCTATAACTGGAGGTGGAGCAGGTGCAGAGAAAGAGAGAGAGAGCAACCATCTTGGATGTCTCCTCTTTGCCTGAGGAGATGCATTACCCTTTTTGGATTCCTTATTATTAAGGCATTTCAACTATGAATCCAGGTAAGAATATCTACACATTGAATTTTTTTATGGTTCTCATGGGAAATGCAGAGGAATAATAAAAAAAAAAACAGCAGAAATTAGCTGATAGATTTGCTAGAATTATAATTTGTGAGTAACTAATTTACATGATCAGATATGGATTGTGCTGACACCAGGATAAGGCCTAATACAGGTTAATCCTTCAGTAACATGAAACAATGTTTTGTTGCATTAAATGGATTATGCAGACCAGAAGCATGGCATCTATGATGCACTGATGTTCAGTGATAGAGTCACAATACCTTTGCCACATTTTGGGAAAACTATTTATTGAGTTCTGTCATATCTTCTATATGCAGGAGTCAGATTCCTTGTATGTTTAAACATACTTGACCATTAAAGATGATTCTGATATTGATTCAGCTTGTTAGTATAACGATGTGTAAGGGCCATGCTGAGGTGTCTATTTCATGCCTGAGTAGACCTCTAGTTTAAATCAACTACAGATTCTTACAATATTTGTGTTATTTTAATTTGAAGTGTAGGGTATTTTGACCCTATGAATAATTAAAACTGAATAGGTTAGATTGATTACATTAAAAATATGGACCCCGGAGTACAACCTCAAAACAACAAAGTCGGTTAATACAAAAGTATTACACCTGTGATTTGCAATTAAGGCTAACTGTGAACACCAAGGTGTTCCTACTTTTGGATGTGGGTTGTGTCTAATGCAACGTGGCTCAAGACAGTAAGGAACAGCCTGAAAAAATGAGAAACCAGATTGTGATGTTTCATAAAAATGGGTGAAGGTACAAGAACATCAGTAGCTACTGAGCATAAACTGAAACAGTTGCAGCAGTTATAGGAAGAGTCATGGTATTTATAACAGAAGGCACAGTGGCTGCCCATGAAAAATGCAGCCATGCACAATATCCTTTATTCAAACCTCAAAAAGATAGCCCACAAAACAGTGTTGGATTCAACATTGCTAGAGAACATGCAGCAAAAAGAATCCTGGTAGCAGATTTTTTTTTTGGTCAAGTGAAAGCAAAAGAAATGAGTTAAAATCAGATGGGGTCAGCGTATTTGGTGTGGACCTGGCTAGATCTACTACATTCACCACATAAAGTAGTGCTGACCGTGAAACATAAATGCATGTACTGAATGAAAAGATGAATCCCAGTCTCAAAACACTTGTCAGGAATTTACCAACATGACAATGATCTGTTTTAAAGAAAAAAAGTGAAAACTATGACCTTGCCAAGTGTGCTTCCTGACTTAAATCCAGTAGAACCCCTTTTGAGCATTTTGATGCAAAAAGCTAAGAACCACAGACAAACTGAAAAGCTTAACCTGAAGAACATCTTCTCTATATACACATCTACCTATCTATTCATTTCTCTCTAGAGAGAGAGATTTATATATATATATATATATATATG